GTACTTCAGCACGCTGTGACGAAGACGGAGACACCACGACAGCGTCTCTCAGCGATGTTTGTCACCCTCCAACCTCCACTGTTCGGCGGTTGTGAAGCTGATGCCGTCCGAAGGTAGGGGTGAGTGTACTGCCGGCGACAGCACGGCCAGGTACCAGCGGGTGCCGAAAATCTGCCGCAGGTTCTCCTTCCAGCCCAGGTCGTACCTGTGAAGGTGGAGAGACAGGCTGTTATCGGGAACTGGTGGTACAGTGTGTGATGGCTCGATAAGATAGATTGAAATATAACAGCGTCCAGCGTCAACGAAAATTGCGAGCGTGGTTTGGGACATTATGGGTGGCTTGAAGTCGGGTGTAAATGAACGTAAAGTGGCAAAGATGTAAGCATAAAAACCTTTATTTTTCCAATATGCGGAATTAGACGTATGGTGTCTCACAATTAGCTGGGAAAAGTAGATTAAGGGTAGAATTTGAATACATGCCACGACAGCCAGTGGTATGCCTGCAGGTCCCGACTCCCGAGATATTGAACTGCGTAAAAGGGTTTCATCACAAGATGTAAACTTTTCGTCCGATTACGCAAATGCTGTGACAAACTAGGCAAATGGGCCTTATTTGCTTAGAATCTACCCAAGCCCTTTCAACAGCTGCTGACGTTCACAGTTTATCAGCTCACTATCCGGCGGATTTTGGACTGTCTGATGAGTGAGGCGGCACTCACTGGAACTGTCGATGGACCTTCTCGTAGTTGGTGGCGCCTCGTAGAGCTCCCTGTCCGTGGTACAGCAGCAGAGCCAGCACAAACAGGAACCCGATCAGGTCCAGGGTGAACAGAAACGCGTACAGCTGGGGAGAGAGGGAATGGGGTGGTCAATGGTCATAGAGTCGCGGAACTATGAGGACATTTTTATAGATAAAACACATAGTTATTTCCAATAACCGACATACTTTAATATATTATATTGTGAAAGCTAAGACCAAAATGCATTACAAAATACAAATTATCAGTAATTCAGATAAGTAGGTATTGTGTAGCACAGGACTAACTAGTACAGTCCCTTCTAAATTCCAGCCTAGTCAAACACTGCCTCTCCCAGCCGCCTCCCCCACCGCTGTACTAGACAGTAGACAGAGCCACATCACTCACTTGTTTGGGCGACACGTCCAGGCCGAACACCAGCATGGCCGTCGGCATGACCAGCTGCAGCAGCGACAGCAGGTGGAACCCGCCCACCACGCGCATGATGAAGATGACGTTAAGCACAGTCGAGTAAAGCGCGCCCAGCGCCAGGTACGCCAGGAACAGCAGGAAGTGGCGCTGGTTGAAGTGGCCCACGCAGTAGCCGGTGAACGTGCAGTGATGGTCCCGGCGCAGAATACACGCCCGACAGATGGGGCAGTGCCAGGAGCGCGGCGGCGCCGTTGCCTCACACGCCGAGCAGAACCGCCAGCCGGGCTTCAGACTCGCCGGCAGCAGCAGGCCGTGCGTGGACGTGTCCAGACGCATCACGGCGAAGATGTTGCCGAGGATGTTGAACAGGATGAAGATGCCGATGACGGCCTGTACCCAGTAGAGCGGGCCGTCCACCAGGCCAGGAAGGACGAGAGACACCTCGCTGACGAATGTGACGCCGATGGCAGTCAGCATGAACACGGTGGCGAAACCGTCCATGACGGAGCGCGGCAGGAAATTGGCGCGGTACCGCATCGTCAGGCAGGCAGTGTGGGCGCTGAAACACAGTCGATCGTACAAAATCACCATAGACCTCTCCATACCCGCATACAGAATTACAGAGGTCTATAGGCCATTCCGACGCGTTTTAGTGAAAAATCAGGCAGTTGATTTTTCCCCCATTGACTTATAATGGGGAAGTCGACCAAGAAGTTGACCTGACCTTAGGTCATTTTCAAAGAACTTCGTCATCTACTGTAGCTCTGACACATTGACAAAGTTGCAAAAAAAATGACTGGAGGTCGGGCCATTCGAAGTGACCTGGTGACTTGAGCTTGAAAGGTAGGAGGTTCAAATTTGCACACAATGTGGAAAATTGATGGAGGAATAGTTAGCCATATTTCGCGGAGCTACGCGCCGCAGTTTTTCCACTACATATTTACGAAAACCCTCAGGGGGATATCTCCCCTCCGCCCCCCCCCCCCCCCCCACGTCGGTGCGCGGCCGTGGCAGGGAGCCGGACTTGGGCAAGACCTGGCGGTCCGAAACCATACCAACTCGAGAGCGCCAGGGCACAGGTCGGCTATCGGGAATAGAGCCATATCGACCCAAACCCCGGTTCTGAAGTCTGACAGCGTTCCATTTACACCTGCCGAACTCGGGCATGTCGGAGTGGCCGGAGCTAAACGGACTTAAGCCAAACGAAATTGCTAGCTGGGTTCTTGTCAACTCTTTTGCCATGCTTTGTAATCTGGCCTAGCTCACAGTCACCGCCCCAGAAATTACTTAAATTCCACAATTTTTCACATAAATAAGGCTTCAAATTTGAATTGGATTTTAATTTCTGAACAAAAGCAAGTTGAGGGCTTGCATATTATTTTTCGTTTGAATGGAAGCCATTATATAGACAGATATGATATGACTCAGCTTATATTCCATGATCATGGTGCTCATGTGGCTGTAGGCATCATTGGGTGGAGCAAGTGGCACAGGCCCCCAAAGTATAATGCCACGGCAGAATATTCTGCTACAAAATGGCATTATTGGCGTGACATATTTTTGTGATTCAGATTGTTTTGCTACCGGATATGACTCACCAAGGGATTGAATTGTGGTGCGTTTCCTCCTTGCAGGGATTTGTAATGTGAGGTGCAAGAGTGTGAATTGGTGAGTGCCACCCACAGGCGAAGCCAGAGATTTTCAGTTGGGGGCAAATCAATTGTGTTAAATCTTGCCTTTCTCCAGTCGTTACTCACTCGTTTTACATATTATTCGACGTGCAATGATGCAGGCCAGAAATGCGATTGTGACAAAGTTTTCCTTCTAGCTATGACATGTACTTTTTACATATTTTTTAAGTTGGAAATTTTGGACAGAAACAAAATGACCGGTAGAATTTAGAATTATTCCAGTTGCTGCAACTGCCGAACCACTCTTAGTGTAGGCTTGGGATTGCCAGGCCATTTTAGGCCACTCAGGGTCAGTGTGGGCTCTTAGAAAATAGAAGCCCACTTAGGATCCCAGAGATCGGCGTGGGCCAACCCAAACATTTACTTGTATGTGGAGTTTAGGGCTTTCCGAGCCCTAGGTGGCTGGTGGGGCCCTCAGAAACCAGTGTGGGCGCCGGGCTCTAAGCAGCCAGGCCCAGGCTGAGCCTGTAACTCTAGATAACATTGTGAGCCCTCAGGCCTCAGGGTCTGTCAAATCCATAAGGACCCTACGTAAGGACATAAGAGATGCATGTTCGACTTGGGACCCTCAGAGGACCTGCACCTGCAGCACCGAATTTCCAGCTGCAAGAAAACGGAAGCATGCTTCAGTAGGTGACATCACACGGGCGATGACACAGTGGTGTGGATGGGACTAACGGGTGACGACTGATGTAGCCCCCCACAGCGCATGCGTGCTGCAGCACATTTCATTTTGACTGCGCAGCCGAACAGCCCTCTGGTTGCAATAAAGAGTATGAACTGTGACACCTACTTTATTACTGAATATTCAATATCAGTTGGGGAAACTACGAGGCGAACGTCAAAAAATGGATTGGTCAATAAATGGACTTTTGATGACCATATATGGGCATAAATGCAGCCCCCGCTACTAAGGGTGAAAAACGGTATAACAAGCCGGTACTTGCGGTATTGCGTCCACTTATTGGAGAGAAAAGGGTTCCATTTTTCACTAGGAATTGGTGTGATTTGATTAAATTTGACGAATTGACTCGAAAATGGCGATAGGAAAACGGCTTTTCTGCAGGTTCTGGGCGTCGCAATCAGCTGGCCATTCAATAAATGGATTGGTTTTATGAAAGAAAATTGTTAAAAGATTTAATTTAATTACAATAAACAAAAATATTTAATTCTAAAATAATAACTTAACTACAATTAGAAAAACCATAAACAAAATAATAAAAATAATGACATTTTTTAACCACGGTACTGCTTACATTTTTTGGCGCGTCTGTTTCAATCCGCCATATTTGCCAATCACGGTTTGACCTTGCGTTGTAACTCTGCGATTTAGAGCCGCCAGTTAATTATGCACCGGGTGAGTGTAGGCCTTGTGTGGTTAAAAAACATTCTTATGCCTTATTTTTTCATTTGAATGCTAAAATTCATTGAAAAGATGAAGTTGTCTGATTTTATGACCATATATGGTCATCGCCCCGCCCACTCCAGCCGCTGATTGGCTAATCCAATTTTTGTTTGGCTCCTCGTAGTTTCCCCAACTGATATTCTGCTCTGCTGCATGTGAAACAGGCCTCTGGATTGCCAACAGTACCCAATTTGGACCTAATATATACTAATACCCCCAATTTTATAGAGCCTTCTATTGCTTTTATTTTTTAAAATCAACATTGGGCTCTAAGAGCTACATTAATTTTTACTATATTTCAATTCGAATTTCGACTGTGAATTGCCGCGAGCCATGCTTAAATGCCGCAAATACAGCTATCAGCTTATTATTGATTAAATAATCCGGCAATGTAAACTGTAAAGACAGATCAAGATGAATCATACGTACCTCTTCACAGAAAACTCGTCAAAGCACCTCTTTCTTGGCAATAAACGACAATAAATTACCCCCAATCCAAGTTAGAAATCCCTGCCGGTTGTTGTTCTCTCTCGTGGTGTTTTGATTTGGCAGCATTCAACAGCATCGGAATTTTTGTGTGATGCCAAATCGGGAGATTTTCCTCTGTAAATTCTTTAGTGCGGTAGGGGGAATGCTGTATCGGGTTTGTTGATATATTTTGTGGTTGTTTGACACGTCGTTTTTCAAGCTCATATGAACGCAAAATAAATATTTTTAACTTAGATTTTCAGTGTCCACGAAAACTACCCTCCGCTTTGACCAACGACAGGCATCGCATCATAAGGCACCCCACGTCGCGAACCGAACCTGACGGACTAACATCGATCAAACAAGCAGCTAAACCGGGTGACGCGTGGTGTGGGAACGCTACGACTAGAGAGGCGAGAGTGATACATTCCGTGTATTTCATTCGTGGAGCTGTCCGAGCTGAATCTCCCGGCCGCTATGAACCGAGACGTGGCGCGGCTGATGGAGCACATGCGGAAGGAGGACGGCTACGCCTCTGTCATGCAGAGTCTGGAGCGGTTGGTGGCCTCGCACCCGGAGCTGTGCGACGCTGACGACTATCGCGAGCAGCTTTTGGCGCTGGTGCGCTCGTCGCGCTGCCAGCGCCGGCTGCAGAACCTGGTTCAGCAGACGGTGCTCAGCCGGCCGGACCTGCTGTATCCGCCCGGTTACCCGCTCGAGGCCATTCAGGAGCCCCTCGACTACATGCGGCGGGCCCAGCGCGCCTGGGAGCGCCGCCTCTACAAGTCGCTCAACGCCATGAGCGCTGAGCTCGGTGTACCTCTGGCGCGTCTCCGGCCGCCGGCTCAGCAGCAGAAGATGGTCGAGCGGCCGGAGGAGGCGTCTCAGGACGAGCCAGTCGAGTTGGAGCGATTCCGACCCGTCTACGCACCCAAAGACTTCCTGGAGGTGCTGACACGAGTGGAGAACCCCAACTACGCGGCCTCGAGCAGCGACTTCCTGTACGGAATGGTGCGTCTGCCGCTATCCGTGCCCGACCTGGCCGAGCTTCGGCAGCAGTTCGAGGAGCTGGGCAGCTCACGGCTGCAGCACCTCAGCATGTCTGCCGACCTGCCGGCCGCTGGTAAACCGCACCTCAGCGTCGCCCAGTACCGGGAGATGCTCGGCGCCCGACTCCTAGAGCTGGACGACGCGCCGGCCGCGCGTGAGTTCGCCAAACTGGGCGTGCCGCAGAGCCAGCGTGGCGAGCTCTGGTGTCAGATGCTGGGAGTACGGCCGGACGCGAGGCACACGGCACAGCTGGAGGAGCTGGATCGGGCTGTGCTGCAGCACCAGCTGCTCGCCGACCGGCTCGTGGCACGTGACGTTCAGCTGACCGCCGGCAACGACGACCAGTACTTTGTGTTTTCGGAGCTGCTGCGCGCGACTCTACTGCGCTTTCTTCGTCACACAGCACCGCTGAAAGCACTGACACCGCTCCCAGGCCGGCCGGCGCGTGCGACCGCCGCCGGATCGCCTGACACCCCTCTAGCGTACCCGCCGTGCGGTGTGGTGCCCTTCCACGGCTTCTCCATGTATCTAGCACCGCTCTGTTTCGTTCTCAGTGACCCGACGCGGCTGCTGATGGCATTCGAGCGGCTGTACTCGCGGTACTTTGTACTCCTCCACACGCTCTCCAGCCGTCCGGACGGCATCGTCAGTCTCAGCCTACTGCTGGAGCGGCTGCTGCGCGAGCACGAGCTGACGCTGTGGCTGCACTGCCGACGGTGTCGCGTCCAGCCGCTGCGGCTCGTCTTCCGGTGGCTGGTGCGCGCCTTCTCGGGCTACCTGCGCGTCAGCCAGCTGCTGCCGCTGTGGGAGCTGGTGCTGGCCTACGACTCGCTGCGTCCGCTGGCGCTGCTGGCCGCCGCCGTGCTGGCCTACCGGCGCGCCAGCCTGCTGGCCGCCACCAGCCAGCAGACCATGGAAGCCGTGCTGGCCGACCTCTCCTCCATCCGCGTGCTGCCGCTGCTGCGCGCCGTGCTGGGACGATGGACCGCCTGACCTGGGCTGGGGCGTCGGCGTCTGACCCGCTACAGGTCGGTCCGTCACCCCGGGCAGAGGAGCGCCGCAGGTCTGTGTCGTCCCAGACTGAGCTAGACAGACGTCTAGCCCGTTGCGCCTTCACGGAAGCATGACAGACGTCGGTCGTTATATGAGCATAATCTTTCTGCGACACTGTAAGTGTAGAAGCATGTAATTCAATTAACTTTTTCATTACAGGAATCCGCGATCTAGGTTAAGTCAAACACCTATTTGCCTTTTGTTTTATTACAGAAGCGGACACGTCGAATCAACCCAGGACAAAGTGCCATTGGTCCAACCTGCATCAAGTATTGTACTATCAACACCAATACATGACAATGTAAAGCTCGATGTATCGGTGGTATCACCCGGTACTTGATGCGTCCAGAAAATTACCCGTGTAGGATAATTGGTCGCAAATAAAGGTTTCATAAGACAAGCAATTCGTATTACGATCAACAAGGCTTCTATGATTCTGAAAGAGTTAGAACAAAATACGCAATATCACACCTAGCACAATACCGATCCCAGCAATTATCTTCCCAGAGATGAAAAAGCACAGCAATGTCCGTTCCACAGCCAACAGCGGAGTAATGCTCTTTCCACAGCGTCAATAGGTCTCTTCCACAGCCCATTTCCTATCACATTACACGCGTCCAGTAACTCAAGAAAATGAATCACAAATAAGACTCTCATCTCCAGATAAAATGATTCAGATCACACGGAAGGAGTGATAGAAGTCAATGCGTTTCACGTACATGAAGGCAATAACCATCATTTATCAATCTCAGCGTTGCGATAGTATTTTTCTTCCAAATTTCAAATCACGGGATAGAAATTACATCCAGCTATGCGGCTGGTAGTCATCAACTCACAGTCCAGCACATTTCTAGTGTTATGCTCCGTTGAATAACCACAGTCAATCGCTTCGATTAAATTTCCTTGCTTCATCCATTCCAGCATGCTTAAATTGCACCTTGAAATGACATTTCCGAAAATGTAGCTATCGTGTGCAACAAAGCTCAATCACCTCCAAACAGTCTGGTAACATCCAAACTCTTACTAGCGTGGATCACAGACATATGACCGTTGGCACTACATAACTGACATACTGTCCCAAGCAAACGCTGTACCACTGTCAAGGCGGCATGAGCTGCCACACTGTTCCTTCCGTGCCGTGAATTTGTGAAATGTTTTGGAAGCCGCTCTTCCGACACGTCGCAAGACAAACAGCAGCGTAATGTGATATTGTTCGAGTTAAAAAGCAAGTCAGAAGTGTGTACTCGGTGTAAGATATGAGCGAAATAAGCCCGAAAAGACAGCAAACTTGCCGCGTAAAAATACTTTGAAAGTTCCTACATGCAGTCTAAATGTTTTAACGCCAGTTTGAGACATTGCTAAAATATAGGACAAAGGAGGACATTAAGGACAATCGGAGCTAATGATCGCGCAATGCCGAAAGCTTGTCGAAGTTTTCTTTTGGATCAGCAATTTTAATTTAGAAAGCATGAGAGCTAGAATTCTTAATATTCTTATTTTTTAATTCCTATACACTTCAAATATGTTAATTACCAGTTAGAGCTTGCCGGGCTTAGTTAGTCTCTAATTCGTATTCATTATATGACTTACTCAGTTTGTACGGCATATCTGTCCTTCACTTTACAAGTGAGGTGTTGATGCCGCTCGTGCTGTTAATTGGATCATGCGCCAGTTGATTATTGCGGTAGCTGTACAATTCAAACCGGGTCCGCCTACTGCTTGTAGACGATTCATTAACACCTCTCTGTGATAACCACCAAACTTAGGCAGTGTCCTGTCTATCGTAACAGAGGGAGAGTAGAGCATGAAGGGTCGTCAGTTCAAACCGCGCAGTGTCAGCTGTCTTGTGTGGCCGGTTCGCTTCCCGTTCACATTGTGTAGATGCTGGGGTTGAACGGCAGACCCCGGCGGATCGCCACCAGGGCGTCACGCACGGTCGACTGCAGTCGGGGGAGGCGCAGCGTCACGGCGAGATCGCGCACGTCACGCAGCGTCTCGTCCAGACGCTGCAGCGTGCGGCACAGGTTCCCCTGGTCGCTTTCCCGCGGCAATCGGACGTTACGCAGCTCCTGCAACAGGACAAGTTGGAGAGAGAGTCAGCGGGCGGAACCGAGGACAGGCGAGACATTTAAGCCGTGATCTACATTTAACACGACTGAAACTTCTACTGTCCAGCATCCACCGGAATATTCACTAGTAGCACACCTCATGCGCACATTTATCATCATGCACCTTTATCATCCAGTGAGACGAAAAACGCGCCTTCATATCACGGCAGCAGATGACAAACCCTGAACACCTTATCGCCCTCTCCAGCACAAGCGTCCCAGCCTCGGGCAATGAGCGAGGAGTTGGACTCACCATTCCGCCAGCCCAGTCGAGAACGGCCTCGATCAACTCAAACTGCAGCGACATCTCCTCGTCTGTGCGAGTATGTAGTCCGTTCCTCTCCTGCACTTTGTCGATATGACGAGCGATCTTCAGCATCCGGACAACGCCCTGCGGCGGAGCAAAACCGACACAGAGCTCGTGTGATCAGCAGATTAGATAGAGGTCATCCCACACAGCAGCGCGTGACCACAGCTGTGCTTCACACGGCGGTTTATTTTGGGTTGTGACGTTATATACGCCCCCAAGTGAAAACGAATTAAGACTAAGAATGGATCAGCGAACGACAGTGGAGAGCGTAGGAGAAATCTGTTGTTACGTTGAGCTAAAGAAACGAAAACAGCCGACACCTATCACACATCTGTAGAGCTGCAAACATTAATCAAATGCAACCTAAAAATAGCCAGCATCTCTGGACAGCCTTCAAGAAATTCATCGAGCCAACAGAACGCCTCCAACCCTTTTCCATTACCAGCCCACCTCTAAATCTCCCACACAACCGCCGAATCTTGCCTGTCCTCACCTCTCTGAGAGCGGCTGGCAGACGCGCGGTGTCTGGCTCCTGCCTTCCCGGCTCCTTCGTAACCACTACCAGCACGTGTGACACGGCAGACAAAAGAGCAGCCAGCTGAGGCGACGTCAGGCCGTCAAGAGCGTTGTTACAGACCAGCTCGGTGACCAGAAGTTGACGGTAGCCCACTCCGCAGGCCGCCTTGCCCTTGCCGGTCACTGGCGGGTCGGACGGTCAGAGCACGTGGTCAGAGGGTTCACGATCAGGAAGGCAGCGGCCACGGTGCCGAGGTGGCGGTCAAAGGAGTCATGGTCAAACGGGGGGTTGAGGAGGGTCACAGTCAGGGTCTCATGCCAGCGAGCTGAGCCCAGTCTTACCAAGTCAACTTCTTGTTTATCATCAAACCATTTTATCTGACATTACTAAGAGAAAATAACACCAACACATCCAGTGCGTACTAAAATCACACCCAGCCTCACCCCGGCCGCTGCTGTCGACGTAACCGAGCTCCTTGAGGACCTGCATCATCGCCGAGGTTTCATCGTTCCAGTGATCCAGTTCCTTCTGCTGTGTGTACAGCTGGTCAGCAGCGAGCGCGGCCTCCAGCTGGCGGTCGAAGTAGTGAAAGTCAATCAGTAGGCACAGGAACAATACATGATAGCTCACACATTATATATCTCTGAAGCCATAACGTTTCACTAGGAATAACGGATAACAGTGTCGAGAGGCGACTTTTATAGCGAAGTACCTAATGCGACAGCGTTAGAGTTCGACGGTTGTACAATGTACATTTGCATCAGCTACAGAATACTGAATTAATCGACTGATGATATAAGTACAAATGTTATCATCAATCATCAAACAAAAAACACATGACGATTATAACACCAGCCAATCAATCCTCCTAGTCAGTCAGCCTCACCCCACCATACCCCAATATAACTCAGAAACCCCCTCTACACAACAGAAGAAATAAAGGTTTACACAACAGGAACACAAGTCCAACGCTCTACCGACTGAGCTACGGGACAGGCTGACCCCTACTGCCACGCGTGGTGAGAGCACGCGTTCCCGGTTATAACAGTCCGGGTTCGAAGACCGACGGGCGCGTGACATTTATGAGCCTCATGAGTCATGACAGGTATGGTTGAGGTTGGTGGCAGGCCGCAGCCAGGCAAAATCAGTGAGGAGACCGGCCGTGCGCTGCTATGTGCGCACGTTCAACCTTTGACTCCAAATTCTGCCATAGAACCCGAATAGCGCGATCGGAGGGTAGAGCCTAGAGGGCAGGGTCAACACAAGCTTCGCTAAGCTTCGCTCTGTCCCTGTGAATCCTTCCATTCAAAAAGGCTCGGACTAAATTTATGTTTTAAAAAATCACCGTCCACCTTTCCACCTACCGTGTGGACGATTTCTTCCCGCTCCATGCCGCGGTACCGGTCCTCCAGCTGCTGACGAAGCTCCGTCAGCCTCTCCGACTCTGGCGGCGGTGCCACGGGTCCTTCAGAGAGTTCAACCAGCCGACCGACGGCGGCGGCGCAGGCCGGCCACGGCTGCCGGTCGGCGAACCGAGCCATTGTTCGCTCACGAACATCGTCCAGCACGGAGAGAGGCGCTGGGGGAAGCAGGGAAGGGGTGTTATGCTTCTCAGTGTTTTATGTGCTTATCAGTTGCAGTAAGAAATGCCCATGCCAATTCCTACTGACTTCTACTGTCCTGGTCTAAGCGCTTAGCACAGGGTGTCCATGTCTTGGGTATTTTGACCGTTTTCTATTTATTTGCTTTTTATGCAGCCATAAAAATATACATTTCGAAAGTCCTATGTCATTGAGTATCACCTAACTACACTTACAGGTTACCACTGAGATGACCTGAAATAGCTTCGGCTCGGAATGATGATACTCTGACGGAAATGATAATGACATAGGCGCTGGAACCGGGGGGGGGGGGAGCAGTGGGGGCAGCTTGCCCCCCCCCCCCCCCAACTGTGAGACGGTATACCGCACTTTTTATACAAATGTTTTCTTTTGTGTTTGAAAAGGCCAAGGGATGAAAGATAAGTGGCCTAAAACCGGTGAGGAAACTAGATTTGGGGGTGCCCTAGGCTCTATTATGGTGTGCCCCCCCCCCCCCCCCCCCAGTCTGAAAGTAGTTCCCACGCCCCTGGATAACGATCGTAGCTGTTGGAGGTGGAATTGAGGGAGCCCGTTATTGATAAAGTCCATCTTTGGAATGTGTATAATGTCCGGCATAGAAGAAATCTCTGAAGAAGCCTCGCAAGACGACGTCCAAGAGCTGAAATCGGGTGAATAAGAGCTCACTCTTCAACACGCTTCGGACTGTTGCGGCGGTAAGAGAAACACGTTGTCACTGCATTCACACTGCGATGTCCGGGGTGTCGATCCAGCCAGCTAGCTTCGCCAGTCGCAATGATCGCTCCCGCATCTGTTTCTGCTCCAAGAAGCGCTCCAGCGACGGAGCGAAGCTGTCAGTGCCGTGATGCCCCGTTTGTTTCCCTGGCTGACTTCGAAAATAAGCGATGATGCCAGGATGAGACCGATAGTCGCATTTTCTGTCAACTGCCACCTTTTTGCCGTGAAGGGGTTTGGACAACACTGCACAAAAGTGGTAGGTACGTTCTCAGGTGGGCCGCGATGCTGAAGTCCCATGGTCCATCCGTGATCTTTCCGCGTTTTTTTTACGAAATAACCGGTAGTTGGGTGTTACTCAAACCAGGCACGCATTTTTAACCGGCCTTCTCATGTCTTGC